TTTGGATCTAACTTCCGCATTTATTGCTCGGACTGTATCGCAAGATCTCGAAAATCCCGCGCATGCCTGTTTGCGCACCTCAGGTCTCCGCACCGGAGCGGAGCCGTTGTAGAGCGGGTGTAGTATAATTTGAGTTCGGAAGCGAACGGGGGCGGAGCGGAGATAGTGGAATTTTGGGGTTAACCCACCTTGCCTGCTGGTGATTGTCAGAGGGGCCGGTGGCGTCATTGTTTGTCAGACCACACCTCTGTCAGCGTGCCCCAGGGCATTGTACATCATACTCACCAGCGTGTGAATGAGTGTGTGAATAGGTGGATGACTGAGTGAGTGTGTTTACATGCAGCCAGTAACCCTTTTAAAACCCGAATATTCACAATAACCCGGTTCCGCAGGTCCATGTAAACACCGCCAAAAACCCGGACATGCTCATAACCGGGTTTTTAAAAACCCGGTTAGTACACCTGGGGTAACCCTTTTCTAACCCAAATGCTTGGTCGTGTAAACGCATATTGGGATATCCCCATCAAAGCGTGTGTTCTGCGCATGCTCTGTTCGCAAGGAATCTTGGTCTTTTGAGTAGCGAGACGTCTTGTATGCGCCAGAACACCGGAAGTAAACAACAAATTGGGAGGACATGGTGAGTCGCGGCACAGCACCACACTTTTGGAGTGACGAGGAAACTAAAGCGCAAACAAACGCGGTTGCTATCTCTTCCGAACTAGGAAACGTGTTGTTGTTTTCACGGATACCGGAACAAGAAGAACTGGAAATGACGCATATTGCGTCTGGACGTAGTCCATACGTCCTGACGCTACCCCAACGTCCGCATTTAAATCGGGTTATGCAAGTTAGAGGTAACTCTTTCTATTTATGCTTGTAAACGGGTTATTCTGATCAACTCAGAAACCCGAATACCGACCTTAACCCGATCATAACCCAGATATTGGCTGCATGTAAACGTAGTCATTGTGCTGTGAAGCACCTTGGGGGGTTGTAGAACCCCAAGAAGGCACTTACACGGGTCATTTAACATTTACATCATGTCTGTCATGTTTTGGTGGAAGTCTTGCTGTGGTCTTTAAGGACAAACATGCCTGTAATTTGATGAAAAGTTGCCCTTTTACTACTTTTGAATGTCAGGTCATCAAAATAGAGTTTCAAAATGTATTTCGCTGTATTTAAATCTATCAACCTCCCAGTCCAGCTGATACTTTTGCCTCTGAATTTGCAGAATTTTCATCATCGGTGGTCAAACATGAAATTACACAATGATGACCCTGCTTGTCCAGCAGTAGAGTTCATATCTATTAGAGCCTTTTGCTCAATAACTTTCTTTACATTAGATATGATAAGAATAACAATATTGGTCTTCTGTCTCGTTTACAACTTTTACTATAACAAAAGTTGTTGTTCCTTCTACAGGAAAATATAGTTTAATTTACAAACGTGTAATATTTTAGCCATGTCAGTGTTTTGGGACAAATTCTCAGACTCGGATCCACCTCACCTAGGCAACCAAGGCTGACTTGAGGCTAGAAACAACATTTTGGCTAATAAAAACACTGATTAAAGTGTGCCTTGCTGCCAGAAGATTAGAGCTGTGTGTGCACAGTGACAGAATAAAGCAGGAGAGGCTGAGCTACAACAGACAGAGATCACAAACCTTTGTCTGTGTGCGGTGTGGATAATTACATTTGCCACAAAAGATTTTGTGGTTTTATAAGCTCAGAATTCATCCATTTGCATGTGGAAACTATTTCAGCTTTATGTGGGTGCTGTTGCATCTGTGAATTTCTTGGGAAACAAATGCATCTCTCCTCTTTTCATACTTTTATCTGCAGAAATAGAAAAAAATAATATAGCAGATTTAAAAAGTGGAATGTTTTAAGGCTTTTTTATTTGCTAACCACTGATAGTGTCATTGTGTCTAATAATGAAGCATATAAGTCAGAGTAGATTACACTTGACAGTAATTATGTTTATATGAAACACGTGGCAGCGTTAAAACTGAAATGGTACATCCAGATGTTTAATGTACCCCTAAAAGCTGCTTTTATTTCTCTTTACAATTAAAATTAATCCACAAACTGCAAAGACATATTCTAGCCATTTTAAAATTCATTTTAAATATGTTTATGTCCAAATGTCACTAATGCAGTTTAGAAATGAACACATTCAACCAATCTGGTCTTTAATCTGGTTTCTGGGTCAAAGTGCAAAGCAGCCAGTTTCTTTAATTGGGCAGGTGTGTGTGTGTGTGTGTGTGTGTGTGTGTGTGTGTGTGTGTGTGTGTGTGTGTGTGTGTGTGTGTGTGTGTGTGTGTGTGTGTGTGTGTGTGTGTGTTACAACATCATAAAACTCCTGATACACTCCTCCACCTTTGAAGGTCAGGGCTGTTTGCACTGGGGGTTAAATGCCACAGAAATTAATTTCTCCCCATGTCAATCTCAGCAATCATAGTTTCCCATGACAGAAAAATCAAGAAGCTTAAGGTTTAAATCCCCGAACAATGTCGTCACCCCCAATCCCCTTTTTTTTTTAACCTCCTTTCATATCATCACAGAAGAAAAATTACTTTGGCAGACCGAGGTTAATAAAGATTACCCCCAGAGTTATCTTTATGTGATTAAGTTTATACACAACGGAGATCAAATAGGAAGCCAGCTGGGGGGCGGCGCTGATCAAATTCAAGGAAATTTCCTGTGGGAGGAGCTCCTTATAAGTGAGGCCCAGTCTGGATATTTCATCATACTAGTTTTTGTTCGATCGAGCCTTTAATCCACTCATGTACTGGTCAGATTATGTTCATGGATTAGCAGTTTCATTTTGTGTTTATTTAAAATGCCTCTTTGCAAACCGACACCCTGCATAGCAATAGTCTTTGTTTGAAACTGAATATCTAAGACTAAACCCACGTGGAAACGATCACATCCAATGGAAATTTATTTATAATTTAAATTAGGACTGATTTATATAATTGACACCAACTTTTGTATTGCATTCCCTTTCATCTGGGTTTGAGACCAGCTCTGGATTATTAGGAACAACCGAGTAATCTCTAGGACTCATACGAACTCTGAGGGTTTCATCCCTGTGCTTTTATGGGCTTTTAAATCTTTGCATGGCCTTGCTCCAGATTCCCTCTCTGAGCGACTGGTGTTTTACTCCCCTGCACGGTCTCTGAGGTCAGCTGATATGATGCTCCTGGAAGTCCCAAAAACAAGGCGTAAGCTCAGAGGTGACAGGGCTTTCTCTGTAGCGGCCCCTAGGCTCTGGAATGTGATGCCCTTGAGCATTAGGTCGGCCTCTTCACTGCCTGGTTTTAAATCTCTTTTGAAAACTTAGTTTCATGATTTGGTTTTTAACTCAACATGAGTCTTTGCAGTGTTAATTCTTAAGCTTTAGTTTATATGTATTTTTATGTTTTGCATTGTTTTTTAATGTTTTAATTTCTGTGAAGCACTTTGGTCTGTTTTTTACTGTTGTAAGGTGCTATACAAATAAAGCTGCCTTGCCTTGCCTGTGTTTTAAGAAGGCGGCTGTGTAGAAAAGAGGTTTCTGCAAAAGAAAAAAAGAAAAAGGAATACATTTAGGCATAAACGTATTTCCATGGGTCACCTCAACAATCCAGTGTCGTAGAAAAAACAGGATGGTGTTCTCAAACAGGGAAATATCTAAAACATGGGGCAGATGGCTCTGAGAAGCAGATTTGTGGTCCTCTAGTTCACAGTGGAGAGATGTAAATCAACTGCACTGATGTCCCACATTTCTATATCGACTGACCAATCAAAGTGCTTTACACTACAAGTCACGTTTAGGCATTCATGCACAAACTCACCCCTTCTTTCCATGGGACGCGAAAGCGTTAAAAAACGGCTGCAAAACGAACTACGCAGCAATTAGACGCCATTGTAATGGACAAATTCCTTTCTTTTTTCTTTTATTTATTTATTTTTTCGTGTCCTGTCTGGCTGTGAAGCAAACAGAATTGATGTCTGAATGCTGGTGACACGCCTTATAGATTTACTCTCAGGTGGAACACCAAAGCATCTGCTTTTAATGTCACGTCTGATACTTAAAACTTTATTGTTATTGTTTTTTTCAATGCTTTTTAATTCCAACCAGACACGGAGACAGAGGTGAAAGCAATCAATGATGAAAAAGACTCTGCTTCTAGACCTGCAGAAAGAGAAAAAACAAACCCAAAAAAAGGGACACACAGCAATACAACAAGAGCAAGCTATCACTGCGTCAACCTGATGATGAAATATAAAATCAGCGTTGTTTAACTGAACAATCACACGATAACAAATCACAGTGCATTAAGTGCCAACCACAGCCTTAAGACCTGTGTTGAACGTGCCCAAGTCCATACTTATGAGAGCACCATGTGACCACCTGTGTGCGTACCCGCACTTGTATATGCAAGGTTTCTCTATAGGAGCATCCAATAGAGAGTGTGAGGGGCCACAGATCTGCCCCCCCCCCCCCCCCCCCCCCAAAAAAAGATGTGTAGGAGATGGAAGGAGCTCCAAGTCCCAGAGATCCAGGAGCTGCCCCAGAGCAAAGGGACCCCAGGGTGACTGTAACCAGAAAAGCCCCTTGAGAGGCGCAGAGGATTGCCCCGGGGGGCCACAACCAGCAGCATTTACTGATTTGTAACAAATGGTAACAAAACTTTCAGCAATCTTAAACATTGTTTTTTTAAAACATTTACCTCTTCACTTGTGCCGGTGATTAAAGGGAGTCTGGCGTGCTTGTTATTTTGCTGAAGTTTGCAGTCCCTGCAACTTTTTGACCCTAATGGGTATCCATTGGTAAGTTCTTACTCCAACACAAAAATACTGCTTGCTTGCAATGATTTATGTATCGGCTGCCCCTATTGCCAGGGAAAATACACACTGTCACTTTAATGAAAAAGTTTTTAAAGGATCAGGTGTTCTTTGTGGATATTCTGTTTACATCGTGTGCATTTCTGGTCTTATGTTCTTGTGTAACAGGAAGTGGAACTCTGTCGATTAAACAGCCAAGAAAAACTCGGTCTGACGCTGTGCTACCGAACTGATGAAGAAGAGGACACCGGCATCTACATCAGTCAGGTACAGAGAAGCCAACTTTCCTCCTTTTAAACACATAAAATCATCTTTTTGTTTGTGTTGGTTTACTTTACTCAGCATAACTTGACAGGGAAGCTCCTAAAAGCCTAAATGTGGCACACAAAAACCTGACTTTAACTTTCATGATTAATGTCTTTGGAGCAGAACGTTATTAAGGGTTTTTTCTGAATCCCGTATGCAAATTTACATTCAAAACCAAGACAAAATGGATTCGAGAAAAAAGGCTAATGTAGTCAAATATCAACTCTGACTAAGATACGCATGACCAAAAGAGGAAGTCGGGTTTGAAATGTGATCCTTCCTGCCGCTCTCATTCCTCCTCCTTTAACATGTTCTAATTGAAGGCTTTAATTAGCTCTGAGCAGCAACCTTCTCTGTGCCAATAATTTATTAAATGACACATTCTCCCATTTACCAAAACCCATCTGAATACCAATCATGCACAACAAGGAAGGAAAATTATTAGAGATGCTTCCTTTTAATTCAGACTGTCAGCGCAGGAAAAATGCTAAAGTGGTGATAAGAAAGGATGAAAAGAAATCATTGAGCCATCCAAGACAAACAAATGAATAATCACTTTCTGAGGAATTTAGGCTTTGCAAAGTAAATTAGAAAAATGTTCAGTCTGGCTGCAGGTGCTGCTCTAATCCTATTAACTAAGACACAAACAGTAAGAGCTACTATGAGGATTAGCTTTGCTGCAAAAAGAGATGTAATAAAGCTCCCTTAGCTAGAGTTCCCCTTTAGAGATTTCTAACAAACAGATTTCAAATGATGATTTCATTCATTAAGTCAGTCGGAAGGTTGTTGGTTTGAGCCCCGCTGTCGTTGGGGAATAAACTTGACCCTTCTTGCCTGCTGGTGGCAGTCAGAAGCATATACTTGAATACATAGAAGCCCCATTGGGCACTGGAGAGCATAACAGCATATTAGATGGGTTCCTCACTATCCAAACCCCACACAAGGTGGGCAACTATGCCCGTTTTCCTTGCAACCTGCATACTATTGTAAATGGATCACGTGGTATTAATATAGACTTTTTTAGCCCACCTGTTGGGATTTTATATTTTATTTAATTTATTTGTTTATATTTATATTGTAACTATTATGCCATATAATATTTCTGATTTTGTGAAAAAGCATAATAAATTAGTTGTTTTAGTTGGGTAAACACCTTCCTCAGTAGAAATTAAAGTACTGGGGGCAAATGGAAACCCATCCAAGATGGCGGCCGGCCACTACAGCAGCTCCAATAGGCAGTGCCAGTCCATAGGGCGTCTGCCTATATGTGGTCGGAGAGACTGTTGCCTGTGTTCGGCATATGTGGCTACATTGTAGCTCATCACCATTGTGGGAATGTGTGTGTTCAAAGAGCCTTGGGGGGTTCTAGAACCATACAACCACACTTTATCAAATACCGGCCATTTAAGGTAAAAAATAATAATTAAAAGTGTACATCTGCTAACCAAAAATAACTAACATCCTGTTGATTTCCAAGGCTTTTGGGAAAATATTCAGTGGACCAACAAGACAAAATAGGAGTTTTGGAAGGTGTGATTCCTGGTAAACCTGGTGTAACTGCATTTAAAAAAACATCGCAACAGGGAAACATGCTGGTGGTAGTTTGATGTTTGGGACTGCTTTGGTGCTTCAGGACCTGGACGACCGAATGAAACTGTTTAGCTTGTATTCCTCCAGTTTTTCCATGAGTTTTCTTAAACTAAAAAAAAAAGTTCAAAAAATATTACAAGTCTGAACTCGCTAAACAACAAAAAAGAATCTGCCTTCAACAATGTCTGTGTAGTTTGGTGTTCTACTTCATTAAAATGCATGCAGGCACTGATGCTAATTTAAGGAATCCATTTCTTTCTCCATATTATTTCTATTCTGGTTTCTTGTTTTGGGTTTTTTCTGTGTTACACCTGTTGATCTTTTGTGTTAGAAACGACTAAGTTCACGAAAGGATTTCTCATTGATGTTGCATGTATGCATATCCACCGGGATGCATTTAGAAAAACAGGACGTGTTGATTCATTCAGTCAAAACAGAACCAAGATTGTGCCACAAACACCTTTTTTTTTCATTCTTAGATCCTCCATTGTGTTTTTATTTACGCCACCAGGATATCTCACTGATCCATTTGTTATTCCACGTTCAATCACTTTTTGTTTGTCACTATTTCCTACAACCATGAAGAAACGTGAATAATATGCAACACAAAAAATTGTGCGCAAAAACCAAAATATATGACAAAAATAGGGTTGTCACTCAGTGGAAAGGACACATTCTTTTCTTTTTTCAAAACACATAGTTTTCCTTCAAGCAGCAAACATGAAAGTGCAGCAAAAGTGAGATCCATCATAGGTGTTGTGTTGTGAGAAAAACATCCAGAATGAGAGGCTGTCAGCACTCATTTTTGTGTTCTTTTGTGCAGGTAGAGCCAAACAGTATAGCAGCGAGAGACGGACGCATCAAGGAAGGAGACCGGATCCTGCAGGTAAATTATTTTGTTTGGGTGAATTAAATCACTTTATATTCCATACTTTAAGCCTGAAATCACTGTGAGCTTTCAGTTCACAAATAAATACCTTCCATGTTCAATTTCTGTCAGTGTGAGAAAAAATAAAACCTGCCTATAGCTCCTCAAAGCTGCTTCTGAGACGGTCTTGAAAGAGGAGCGGCTGGCGTCTTGGGTCTGCGGGAGGATATGTATATTTAATCACCTCGTTTTATCAGGGAAATTAAAGTCCTTAGTAGCAGTTTTGCAGCCACTAAATCATCTCAAAGGCTCCATTTTTCTTTTGTCTCCATCTTCCTGAGAAGAAACAGAGAATAGCTTTTCAAATGCACCAAGACCGATCATAAATGAATAGATGTAATTTAATCTCATAGCTACAAATTTAAACATTTTATTGTAACAGGTTGTTTGTCTGTGCATTGTTTTCCCACTGGAAAACACATTCTGCCCTCTTGAACCATGTGTCTCCAATAAGTGGCAGCAGGTGTGTGTAACTGCGGGGAACGGTCCCTCGTTAGGCCTTAACGAGTTCTTACCTGCTGTTTTTTTACAAGATATTATGGATTAGAGTCCAGCAAAATTTGTTCCCCTTACACATGTGACCCAGTCATGTCCACAACTATTCATTCAATAAACTGGCTGATATAGAGGATGAATAAAACATTTTTCTCTCTTAGGCCTGACCTCACACAATGAGTTTTTGAGGTCACAGAAGACACCTTGTTAAAGCCTTCGCTCTTGATTGGCTGAAAGCTTAGATGGATGTGACATTCTGTAAAATGTTCTTGTGGTTTACAAACCTGGGTTCCACTGAATAGTTTATCAGTGCCACATGAAGATGGCATTGGACTGCAGCGCTGCACTGACAACACCAATTAAAGTTAATAATGCACGTCGCCTTGAAGCATTCATGTCACTTTGTGAATGTGAATTTTGTCAGAACAAAGCTTAAAAGTTTTAGGTGCGAGGACGCTCGCAGATGTTCATTACAGTTGGAAAAAAAATTGCATAATTCCATTTTAAATGAAGAAATCAAAATATTGTGTCTGCTGCTTCATATAAAATGCACACACCACTATAGTAAAGTAACACAGAGCAGTTTCCTGCTCCTCCGCCTTACTGGTTAGAAGTGGAATTACAACTGCCGTGAACAACCCTGCAGTAACCTGTTGTAGCTAGCGCTAACAACAAGCTAACACTCACATGAATCAACTAATACTAATATAAACCACCAAGTACAAGGATTTACACTATTGGACAAAAAATTATTACACACAAGTTAAGTCGCAACAAATCCAGGTCACCATCAGTCCATGATTTTGTAGCCACCTTTACCATTACTCTTCACTTTCACTTCCAGGCTCCACCATGATGCCAACAGAAAAGCAAACTTCTTCTTTTACTTCTTCTTGTGCTTTTAATTGATGATTGGCAAACTAAAAAAGCTAACTGTTAGCATAACAGCTAACAGCCATAAAGCGGGTAAAGAGCTCCCCCATAGGGCACCGATAATTGCCGTATCTGGCCAGTAGAGGGTTGCAGAGTGGTGTCAAACATTACACTGGTCAAGTTTCTAACCCAACCATCAATGAGATCAATGTTAAAGCTCTAGCTTAAAGTATACTTTAAGTATGTGTTTGCTAGTTCCAAGTTAGACTCCAGTTTGGCTTCAGAACCACTTTAATTCTTCAAGTCAGCATTTGAATGAGATGTTGGAGATTTTAGTTCATATTGAAATCAAAACATTAGACATCTGCATATTCATGATGTGAATTCAAAGTTCCACAACTTCCCAAAGATGCTGGGATGAATTGAGATCTGGTTTGAGTGACAGATGATTGGATCTTTGTGTCATGGAGCATCGTCCTGGTGGAAGTAGCCATCATATGTGAGTCCACTGTGGTCATGAAGGGCTGCGCTCTAGAACTGTTTAACCCCCAGTCTAGCCCCTTAATGCTGAGTGTCGAGCAGGGAGGCATTGGGACTCGTTAAAGTCTTCTGCATGATTCAATCAGGACTTGAACCCTGATATCCCAGTCCTTGGGTGGACACTCAACCACTAGGTCACTGAGACGTTTAAACTAGACTCAGTGGTACTAAGGGGTCCAAATTGGGTCTAAACAGGTATTCCCCACACCGTTATATCTCTAGCAATCTGAAACATTGATGCAAAGCAGAATGAACCCATGCTTTCCTGTTGCTGACACCAAATGCTGACCCGATTATCTAAATATTGCAGTGGAAATCTAGACTCATCAAACTAGTAAATGGTATACCAGCCTCTTGTTGAGCAGCTCTGGCGATCCCGTGTGACTTAAGCCTTAAATTCCTGTTTCTGGCTAACAGGTGTGACACCAGGTGTGTTCTGCTGATGTAGTCCACAATGCTTCAAGGGTTGTTGTGGTTCACAGATGCTCATCTGCAGACCTTAGTTATAAAGAGGTTATTTTAGCTGCCACTGCTTTTCTCTAGCCAGTCTGCCCATTCTCCTCTGACCTCTGTCAGCAACAGTACATGTTCATCCAAATAACTGTCACTCACTGGAAAATTTCTCCTTTTCAGAACATTTTCTGTGAACTGTAGAAATGGTTGTGCGTGAAAATCCCAGTAGATCAACAGTCTTTGACAACACCATTCTGCCAGATTTCTTTATGGAGCACATAAGTGGGAGCATGTCACTCCGCTCCTGACAGCTTTGGACTGGCTACCGGTGAAGAGTTGCATCTCGTTCAAAATCCTTGTTCTTGTTCTTCAATCCCTGTCTGGATCAGCGCCACCATATTTAGCCTCGCTGCTGGCCCGTTACGTCCCTGCAAGATCGTTACGTTCGGGTCAGAGTGACCTTTTGGAGGTACCGCGATCAAAGCCTAAGTCTGGGGGCAATCGTGCCTTTGCGGTTCTGGGTCCTCGGCTTTGGAACCAACTCCCACAAGAAATCGTGCAGTCCACATCGCTGCCCGCTTTTAAAGCAAGACTTAATTAGATCTGTTTCTTAGTTGTTTCTATTCACATTTAAAAGTTTTTGATCACTATTCTTATATTGTTTTCAGCTCTTTTTTGGTTTTTAAATGTTTTTATTTCTGTATTTCATTATAGAGCTGTTGTATTGTGCTGCTTCTTTGCACTATGCTCAGCACCTTGGTCCCCCTTGAAAGGGGGTGGGAGGAGGCTTTATAAATAAAATGAACTTGATTCTAGGTTTGAACTTCAGAAAGTCATCTTTGTCTAACTTAGACCTTAACAAGCAATTGAACAGGTGTGACAGCGAGTTTTTATGGTTTGCTCATTTGTTGCTTATACCGATGTTATTGTTGATCAGAGTGAAATGAAGAAGCTTTCGGTTTTACTCCACACTCCTTCCTTCTTTATTCTTTGTAAATTGAATTTTGAGTGCCGCCGTTCCCTCACTGAGGTGTTTGTTTCTTGCTACTATGAATGATTTGGGGGGAGCGAGGCTCGCTGTACTCCTGGCCTTATTATCTTCCACTGACAGCCCCATTACTCTAGTGAAGAAAAGATGAACGCCACCTGTCAGAGAACAGTTAATTGTGTCTGGACAATGTGGCGAGAGCAGACTTTTGCAATTGACTCCTCTTCCTGAGTATGTATCTGTAGAGATGCAGACAGGAGAGGATATCAGCTATGAAATGTGCAGAAAAGGGAACTAATGGAGTGCAAAAATGTACAGAAAAGGTAACAAGTTGAGGTGCCTTGCACAAAAACTCAATGACCTGGAGTGCATTACAGTCATTTTTCCTCCTGGTACTTTACTGATGACATCTATTTTGAACTTGAAACCAATTTTCATGTATTCCAAGCAAAATTTTCCTTTGATGTGCAGATAAATGGCTGTGAAGTGCAAGACCGAGAGAAAGCAGTTGCCTTGCTGTCAAGTGAAGAAGCAAGAAGCGTCACACTGCTGGTGACAAGGCCAGAAATCCAGGTAAACACACACACACACACCTGCGCAACCCCTTCTGCTCCGCCTTGACAACCTGTGTCATGTCAAATGAAATGAACTGCTTACTAAGAGCCGTTTGCTTTTCTTCCCTGTCGAGGTGATTGTTCGAAGTACCTGCACGCTCACACACACACACAAGTACAAAACAAGAGAGACAGGTCTTTGACAAGATCTTGTGATTACAGCTAGAGGAGGAGGAGGAGGAGGAGGCTGGATGGCTGGTTGATGAGCAGCAGGAGCTTGCTGGGGAGCTGAAGATGGATATACTAGAAGAAAGGAGGAAGCAGAGAGAGTACAGCTTTCAGAGGCCAGATGAGGTGAGGGTCCATGCTTAGTGAAACAAATCAAAACAAGAGACATGAAATAGAGATAGCAGATGAAGCATGGTGCAGAGCTCTGAGTTTGATTTATGGAATCCTGGTCTTATCCCTAACAAAGGTATGAGGCCCAAGGAGAAACAAGCTTCTAAAAAATAATCCCACCATCTTAAACTGCAGAAAATTAAGTCTAATAAATTTGCCTACACATGTCAACAACACTCTTTCATCAGCACAAAAAGCTGATTTGGGGGTAATTTGCTCTTTAAATACCAGATCTCTTTCCCTCTGGGGCTTCAGGGTGATGACGATATGAATCCAGACACAGCAACGTGCTCCTCCAACAACCAGGACAGTGGGTTTGGGCGAAGCACAGACAGTCCAGAGTTCCAGCCCTTGTTGGCCAGAGTTCACAGGAGGAGCCCGGCCCAATGCCTGAGGGATCGATGGCGATCAGAACATCCGCATACAAGGCAAGGGATTGTTGGGTCACAAGAGAATGAAGGGGCAAGAACACATTCTTCAACGCAGGGCAGTGAAGGTGTTGTGAGTATTCGCAATGCCAGATGTGGAGTCATAGGTCTGGAGAACTGCTTTCAGCAGCTCCTGGAGCTTAAGTGCCAAATTCGCAATGGGGGTGAATGTGGGGTGTACTCCATACGACACAGCATCGAATGTAGCCTCACTGAACAAGGTGGAGGCGACAGAGATGATGACGATGATGAGGGTGCAGGGGGAGGGGTGGAGCACGAGCTGAGGCTGCTGAATGAAGAGCTGCGTAACATTGAGTTGGAATGTCAGAGCATCATGCAAGCCCATCAGCTCCATCAGTCCCACCAACAGGAGTACTCAGAGCCTATGCCCAGCTCACCAGGACTGAGCCTTAAAGATGGACACAGGCGGCTTGGAGGACTGGCCGACATCCGTGAGCACCCGGAGAGGTCAGACAGTGATAAGATCCGTGAGAAGGACAGCTCCAGTGCCTACAACACAGCAGAGAGTGCTAGGTCTACCCCAATAGGCATGGAGAGATCTCCTGAGCACTCCCTGCAGAGACACATCAGCATCACTAACCAAAAAAACCTCAGACTGACCCCCTCTGCCCCCTCTAATCCCATCCCTATCCCTGAGCCTCAAAGCACACCTAGAAGCTGCAGACTAGCAGATCCTGGTCCAGTTATCTCGAGCAGCCCAGATCAGAGCAATCCTTCCAGATCTGAGTCAGATCCAGCTTTGCCAGCAGATGATGAAAGGTGTGAAAAGAAGAGGAGGAGCAGAGAATCTAGGAGAGGGTTCCCCTACGGTTCTCCATCCACCTTACATGGCCAAGGAGGATCCAAACAGCTTCAGGTGCGTATGTTCAGAGACATAAGTGCTAATCGGCTTATGTGCATCTGTTTAACAGCCATGCTGCCATTGTTGTGTGTTGCAGAGCTATATGCAGCTCCTGCAACAGCACTCGTCACTGGAGTACTCTCAGAGCCAGCTGAGTCTCCTCAGTGTTTGTCGAGATTCAGCGCACCGAAACGGACGTGCCGGAGAACCTCGTCTGGAGTGGAAGGTCAAAGTTCGCGCTGATGGGACACGGTACGTTGCACGGAGGCCTGCTCGTGACCGCATACTGAGGGAGCGAGCGCTAAGGATCAGGGAGGAGCGGAGCGGAGGCATGACTACGGATGACGATGCCATGAGTGAGATGAAGATGGGTCGCTACTGGAGCAAAGAGGAGAGGAAGCAGCATTTAGCAAGAGCCAAGGAGCAGAGAAGGAGGAGAGAGTTCATGCAGAAAAGTCGCCTTGAATGTCTAAAAGAGGGACCAGCGAGCGGAGCTGAGGGCAGGAAGGAGATCAATATCTTAGAGCTCAGTCACAAAAAGATGATGAAGAAACGAAACAAAAAGATTCTGGACAACTGGATGACCATCCAAGAACTGATGAGCCATGGAGCCAGAGTCCCAGAAGGGTCAAAAGTACACAATGCCTTCCTTTCTGTCACCACTGTGTAAACGACATGTTTAAAACCTGAAACGGACACAGAAATGTAAATGGTAGCATTCCCAAAGCAGCTTTGTATTGACCATTGGACCATCTGTACCACACCTGAGCCATCAAAACACAACGCAGTACCTTCAAGTTTTGGTGATGAAGTGGGAAATGGTAGCGTGTTGGTTCAACCAGGCTCAAATAAAAATAAAAGAACCAACACAACAACGTTTTGTATACTTCCTGTTTTCTCCATCTTTGTCATTCACGTTTCACTTGCCTTGTTTGAATTGGCATTTTTTTTATGCAGAAATAACTTTATTTTTTACACTTTGTATCTGAACCTTTTCAAAGGACGTTTTTACATTGAATGTCAACGGACTGTAAAGGATTTCATATAATGTCTTATTTATATTTGTATCACCAAGCTATTACTGTTGAGGTGAGACTATCTGATTGTACTATAGCTCATGCTGTACACCCGAGCAACGGGGAGACATCTGCTGGAGGCCAGCTCAATACAAAAACACGTCTTTTATTGTGTTACCGTGCGCTGAGACGTCTGGTAAATGTATAACACTTGCTTCAAAAAGGTTTTTTTAGAGATGTTTTACCTCAGTTTGCAGCCAAAACTCTGACTTGAATTACATGTTTTGTACAATAGCATTATCGACTAAATTTACATCTTTTTCTAAGCTTCAATCTGTGAATTATGTTAAAAATTGTAATCAAACTTTTATTTATATTGTTTATTGGTAATTGAATTTATTGTAAATTATGTTACCTTTTTTTATTTACACTACATCTAATCTGACCTGGGAAAGGCAACAGATTTCCTCAGACTATGTATCATATGTGCAGCCTTTCTCAGTAAAACTGCTGCCTTTTACTGTAAAGTTTACTGAAGAGGCCTCGAGTTTGGTACTTGTTGATGGTAATGTTTGTAATAAAAGATTATTAAAGAAAGAAAATGTCACCCTTTTTTTGACCGGAAAATGTTGGTTTGCCAACTCTGGGTCGAGAGAGAGGTCCTGCCTCGAGTGAAGGAGTTCAAGTATCTCGGGGTCTTGTTCACGAGTCAGGGAGGGAGGGAGCAGGAGATCGACAGGCGGATTGGGGTAGCGTCGGCAGTGCTGAACCGATCTGTTGTGGTGAAGAATGAAAAACTGAAAATGTCCATCCTGTCGAGTAGCAACGGTTGATTTTATTTCAGTCTGATTTCACCAAATTTTTTATTCAGGTCGTATTTTGAATTTGTCTTTGAGTGACTTTAATAACTATAATCGCTGATTAATTTAGCTATTTAAAATTAAATTGACTTTATTTTCCGCACCGAGCCCGGATCGCTATTCTAACACTCACTGGAAATCAAAGCAGCTTTCTTTGTGCCTTAATGTGATTTAGCCTGTCACTTTGGCTAACAGTATTCATGCACACGAGGGATGACTGACAGTGAGGTAAAGGTGCGAGGAGGAAATGCACGTCCGTGTTGTGATAGGAAGCATCAAAGCTGAGCTAAACTACCATTTGAAGTCTCCTCTCCCATGTCAGTCTGCAGGGTCTGTCCACAGCCCACTGAGCTGAGGAATTAATGAGACACTTCAAGATGGCATTCAATCACTGGGGCTTTTATGCATATTATTAAATCAGGTAAGCATTAAACACAGTTCTCTCCGAGCCTCCCCGTTTCCCTGTACTGGGTGCATTGTATTTATCTGACAGCAAGCATCAGTAAAAACTATAAAATAATTGTTTTCAATCAGCATAGAATTATAAGTTTATGCAAAGCAGGAATAAGTAAATAGCCTGACAAGACACCCTATATCATTTTGCTTCAGTTACCGGCTAGGCTAATAAGTGAATGCATTTCAATGCTAATCTTCTGTGGAAAATATATTTCTTAGGTTTTTTATGATAAAGACAAGCTTCTTCTAAATGCCGGTGATGGTTCTCACTTTTCTGGTAATCCTAGCAGAATAAAACGTTTCTGGACTGGTTTGTTTCTGTGCAGACTTTTCATCAACAGAAAAATGTAGAATAATAAGCTTTAAAGGTGTGGTTCACTCATGTAATTGATAGATTTGCAGTGGTCTATAGTAGAAATGAATGCCTTGTAAGTCATACTCTGCAGAAACAAAGCTCCACTGCGCCTGTTTCAGGAACTAGAAGTGAGCCAGGTCAGAGTTGGGTCTCAGATGGCAGGACTATGAGTCTTATGTCCTGATACTAGTTTGCGTGCCCGTGCACATGCACAGATTCTACGAAGGGGTGTGGCATTGTAAAAGGTGCAATCGGTTGCCCAAGTCCCTTTTCATCAGGGCTGTGCCAACAGAGCTGGGGCTGAAACTTGCAAAGAGCATGACAGCGGTGGCACGCACATTTAGGAAGCCACTCGAGATGGTGGCGTTTATTTGAGGAATTATATATATATATATTTAATATTTAATGGCCATCGGTTGACTGATGTAGTTATCAAACTCAGTTCTGAACAATCTCCGTTTACACTACGTTGTCAATGATGCTTATCACACACACACGCACACACAGACACACACACACACACACACACACACACACACACAAGCACACGCACACACACTCGCACACACACTCGCAGAGGCTTTGCTTTTCCTCTGTGCAGCAGGAACATTTTCAGATGCAGATGGAGCACGGAACCGAGCCGGAACCACTAAGAATCCCGCACAGCGAACGTTTAAGAAGGTAATCCAAGGAAGTTGTAAATTGCATACAGCCTCTTCTGCCTTTGATTTTCATGCTTTGTACTTCAAACATCAGTGCTAAACTAAAGGCTTATTAGCTAAAAAGTTAGCTTAACAAATGAGTTGTCGGATCCTAGAAGACAGTTACAGGAACACGTCCTTTCAAAATAAGACAGGCTCAAACTGAGCTCTGGTGCTTACAACAGTTATCCTCGTTTGAATGCGGTGAAATGACCAGCTGTACCTCTGCGCTGTGAACCTGTTTCTGGCATCACAGACTACCATGTAAGCAACGTTAGTTATGACGCTAACAGCCCAGATGAAGATATCCAAGATCTGCCACATCAGGGCTGCAAGGCCACGGAGTCCCGGGAACAACATGGTAAATGGCCTGTATTTGATATAGCGCCTTCTAGAGTCCTGGAACCCCCCAAGGCGCTTTACAACACAATCAATCATTCACCCATTCACACACATTAACACACTGGTGGGGATGAGCTACAATGTAGCCACAGCTGCCCTGGGGCGCACTGACAGAGGTGAGGCTGCCGGGCACTGGCGCCACCGGTCCCTCCGACCACCACCAGCAGGCGACGTGGGTTAAGTGTCTTGCCCAAGGACACAACGACAGCGACAGACTGAGCGGGGCTCGAACCTGCAACCTTCCGATTTCGGGACGAGCACTTCACTCCTGTGCCACCATCGCCCTAGCCGTCACCATAGCAACGCAACATGACAACGTTTCCGGCTTCAGAGACGACCACGTTTATTTTAATTATATACAGGGAGTGCAGAATTATTAGGCAAGTTGTATTTTTGAGGAATAATTTTATTATTGAACAACAACCATGTTCTCAATGAACCCAAACAACTCATTAATATCAAAGCTGAATGTTTTTGGAAGTAGTTTTTAGTTTGTTTTTTGTTTTAGCTATTTTAGGGGATATCTGTGTGTGCAGGTGACTATTACTGTGCATAATTATTAGGCAACTTAACAAAAAACAAATATATACCCATTTCAATTATTTATTTTTACCAGTGAAACCAATATAACATCTCCACATTCCCAAATATACATTTCTGACATTCAAAAACAATACAAAAACGAATCAGCGACCAATATAGCCACCTTTCTTTACAAGGACACTCAAAAGCCTGCCATCCATGGATTCTGTCAGTGTTTTGATCTGTTCACCATCAACATTGCGTGCTGCAGCAACCACAGCCTCCCAGACACTGTTCAGAGAGGTGTACCGTTTTCCCTCCTTGTAAATCTCACATTTGATGATGGACCACAGGTTCTCAATGGGGTTCAGATCAGGTGAACAAGGAGGCCATGTCATTAGTTTTTCTTCTTTTATACCCTTTCTTGCCAGCCACGCTGTGGAGTACTTGGACACGTGTGATGGAGCATTGTCCTGCAGGAAAATCATGTTTTTCTTGAAGGATGCAGACTTCTTCTCGTACCACTGCTTGAAGAAGGTGTCTTCCAGAAACTGGCAGTAGGACTGGGAGTTGAGCTTGACTCCATCCTCAACCTGAAAAGGCCCCACAAGCTCATCTTTGATGATACCAGCCCAAACCAGTACTCCACCTCCACCTTGCTGGCGTCTGAGTCGGACTGGAGCTCTCTGCCCTTTACCAATCCAGCCACGGGCCCATCCATCTGGCCCATCAAGACTCTCTCTCATTTCATCAGTCCTTAAAACCTTAGAAAAATCAGTCTTGAGATATTTCTTGGCCCAGTCTTGACGTTTCAACTTGTGTGTCTTGTTCAGTGGTGGTCGTCTTTCAGCCTTTCTTACCTTGGCCATGTCTCTTGAGTATTGCACACCTTGTGCTTTTGGGCACTCTAGTGATGTTGCAGCTCTAAAATATGGCCAAACTGGTGGCAAGTGGCATCTTGGCAGCTGCACGCTTGACTTTTCTCAGTTCATGGGCAGTTATTTTGCGCCTTGGTTTGTCCACACGCTTCTTGCGGTTTGTCCACACGCTTCTTGCGACCCTGTTGACTATTTTGAATGAAACGCTTGATTGTTCAATGATCACGCTTCAGAAGCTTTGCAATTTTAAGACTGCTGCATCCCTCTGCAAGATATCTCACTATTTTTTACTTTTCTGAGCCTGTCAAGTCCTTCTTTTGACCCATTTAGCCAAAGGAAAGGAAGTTGCCTAATAATTATGCACACCTGATATAGGGTGTTGATGTCATTAGACCACACCCCTTCTCATTACAGAGATGCACATCACCTAATATGCTTAATTGGTAGTAGGCTTTCGAGCCTATACAGCTTGGAGTAAGGCAACATGCATGAAGAGGATGATGTGGACAAAATACGCATTGGCCCAATAATTCTGCACTCCCTGTAGATTTGGACATCTCACCACATCCCAACACGACTCTACAACTGACTTTGTTTTATATCTCTGGTTAAACAGAAAATCCACTCCTTTGGCACATGAATACTTTAAATGTTTTATAGACCTATTGTTCATTTAAAGGCCTACGTTTTATAAATAAAACTGAATTCAAAAGAAAATAGATACTGCTCAAATTTTGTTGATAGATAATGATGCTGCTTTATGCAGCTGGGTGTATTTTTAAACTCAGTAGTGAGCTAAATGGTGAAATCTGGCGTTAATTTGATTGGTTAGTGCTAAATTTGCATGAAATATACTCATTTTTGATTAGCAGACTTTGCTAGGTGAGAGATAAAATGAGACAGTTTTATTTGCTAAGTCTGATTAAAGCACAACATATTAATATGAGCTGTAGAAATCGTTAAAAGTGGAACAGAATCATATGAACGGGGTCCTTTGCAAGATGAGAAAAGAGAAAAGGTCTGCCTGGTTGTATATTGATCTGGTGGAGGCTGCAGAGGACAAGCAGGAGAAACTACAGGCTTAGAAAGAGCATTGTCTTTCATGTGGCAATAAAAGGTGCAACAGGATATCCCATGAAAACAGGATGTGATGTAGTGTTGCATGCCGTATAGATTTATGGGAGAATAAGCAGGCCTGCGATGTGCAGTGAAATGTAAAATGGGTTTCTTCCTTGTTCATTTTGTCTGTATGCATCACTTTATTTCATTTAGATATTTTCTCTTGCTGAATATTAACACCTTACTAGATGTCAGAGGAAATTTGAACACGAGAGCAGATACTTTTAGCTGTAAAAAACATTTAAATCAAATGAGTGCCTTCTAAGTGAATGTTAAATTACCTTAAAATTGTTTCATTCATAATATACCCACATCCCAAAAG